CGTTGTACTACTTTAACTACATATATCGCATGTTATAGTATATGTTAGTGTATTCATTATTTGCATTACAAAAGTGTTAACAGATTACACTTATATTATTTAGATAGTAAATATAAACGTGATTCAAAAGTTTGACCAATGTTGACCTGATAACCGACCAACTTTGGTCGGTTATTTTCCAGAAAATAAAATTTACGGACCAAAGTTGGTCGGTAAATGCTTCCCCTGCATTAACCGACCAACGTTGTTCGGTAATTTTAAATATAAATTCTTAAATTTTATAAAATATTTTAAATATTAAAATTTAAAAAATTGGGTCCAGATTACCGACCAACGTTGGTCGGTAATCCAAAATTTTCTTTGACTAAGCAAGTCTGACTAGCTGGGTCAACTTGTTGACGAATTTATCGACCAACTTTGGTCGGTATTTATTTTTTTTAAAAATGTAAAATATTTTTTTTCCAGTTTCCGTCCAAGTTAGACGGTTTTTGATCGCTTTTTTTGACCGATCAACGTTGGTCGGAAACTTTTGATCGGGTTTTAGCGGATTTCTAGTAGTGGATGGTAATAATCATATCTTACTCCCCCCTCCTTTTTGTCGGTAATGCTTGTTCTTTAACCAATGAGACACCATTAGTTTTTGGGTATTTGACATTTATATCAGGACATTAATATTATTTTAATCGGTCACTATTTGTTTCATTAATTTAGTTAAAGGTACAGTACATATTATAGGCTACAGAGACTATGTAGTAGTACTTGTTATGCATCCTTTATTTCCATTAAAACCACAAGTTGTATATGAGGAAGCAGAAACTGAACTTCAATTCCCATTTGTTTGATCATTATATTGTATACCAAAAAGGAGCTTGACCCGGCTGATGCGCCAAGTGATTTATCCATTCCACAAAGGGGAGAAAATAATCAGTTATATTTCAGATTCTCCTTTCACTCTTTTACTGTAATCCTTACAATAATGTCATCCTATAATTGACTTTTCTCTTGACAAGTTACCAACAGTGTTAAAAACTATCAACTCCTACGCCATAATCCACATTCTCAAAAAGAAGTTTAATTTAAAGAAACAGAATATTAGCAAAATTAATGTAATTAGTTTTCCTGTATATTTTTCTTTTCATTTCTAATCTTTTTCATGTAAATAAAAGAGAAGTAGAGAAAAACTCAATACTGAGTTTCGACGCTCTTTTAAGAGCATTAACGCTTGGTTTGTAGGTATGATTAAGGACGAAGTAATTTGTATATATAGATCGCTGAACTCAGTAACTTTTGGTCCAAACCTTATTATTTGTTATAAAAATTCATTGATTATAAACCCAGGAGAATGAAAATACAATATTCAGTTACCCAAGCGAAATTAAGAGTTGAGAAGTGAGAAGTAGACCCACTTAATTTATTTTGGTTAAAGATTCTTACTTTATAAATGACCGCTTGACCGGCCAACTGTTTTAAAAATCAGTTTAATTCATGTGCATTTGGGGTGGGGTAGGGGGGGATTGGGGGTAGGAGAGGGACAATATGTGAAAATATAATATTGTGCTTTTTATTAAATTTAGGCGAAATTAGGAATTGACGCGAGTTTTTTTTAATTTTAATTATGTATTATGCATGGGGATAGAAGAGGGACTACAAGGTGAAATCGACTGACTTAAGAGAAAAAAAGATATTTTATTTCTGTACTATTACTGTATAATACACGTGGCAAGCTTATAAAATGCCGTGTATCTATTTTAAAGACTTAAATTTATCCATGTTTGGTCCATTAGTTTTTGGGGTATACTTGAGCAAAAAATATGTTTATAGCATTTTTAGACCAAAATGTTAACAAAAGATATTTCTAAGCTATGTTCGGGTCAAATAATTTTGTGGTCTATTACAAATTTATTTTTAGTTTTATGAACTAATCTTTTTTTTTATACATAAAAAATCTATCTTTTACTTATAAAAGATCTGGAAAAAACACTTTCTTAATTTCAACATCATAAAAAGCCATAAAAAAACCCATTTTCACGCTATTTTTAATATGTTAGAGACATTTTTGATCATTTTCTGTTTAGAAATTAACTTCACGTGGGGAAGAGAAGAATTAGTTTCCGTTCAACATTAAGTTTGAACGGGGTGAAGATGGATTAAAGTGGACTCGCATAAATGCCAAGTAGTAATAATAATAGGGTATTATCACTTTTAGCCTGTGCTAGAAACTTTTACATCTGATAGCCGAAAAATATATAAAATTTGTATAATTTTTGTATATAAGAGGAATTTACATAGAATACAACCTTTTGAGGACTTATTTTAATTCCCTACAACTACTCTCACAAAATTACTTTTAGTATAATTTATTTTATTATGTACAACTATTCATATCCTAAAATATCTCTCTTGAGATTCTTTTCTCACTTAAAATATATCTCTTTCTGATTATCTCTCACCTAAAATGTATCTATCCCTATCAATATTCTCCTCAATTTCTTCAGTAAAATATATTCCACTATATAACAAGCGTCTATCCCCTTTCTTCGTCCCATATATTATGTGCAGGTAAAAATGCATAGAAAATCCATTGCTCAGAAAATCATGGACAGTGGTGCTAGAGACTCCTCCAATTCCATCCCTGTTATCGCTGTTAAGTGTATGCTGTCTCTTCCAATTTCTTTGTTCTTCTTAACTGTGAAGGGAAATTTCTGATCACCCAACCTTCTACCCCAAAATTTTATATTCTTTGGTATTTCAAAAATAATAGAGTAGCTTGAAGCTTTTTGAGAATATTACAACATTGTAGTGGTGTGCTTGTGTGAATCACTTTTGTTGGTGAATAATGTCTTTAAGTAACAAACACTTTTAAGTAATAAAAACTTAAATTTATTTAATTTAAGCAACAAACACTCATGTTTTTCCCCTTCAAAATATGTAACACATGAATAGATATTCATTCCTTAATAAGTGTCATTAATATACTGTATAAATATACATAAATATATAGTATATATATATATATATATATATATATATATA